TTATGGAAAATACAGGTCAAGTTTGAATTTGGTCATGGTTCAACGATTTTGGCAGAGTTATGCTCTTTTTACTTTGAAAATAATATGAAATTTTCAGTTTCTGTTCATTATCTCCCCAACGGTACAACACATTCAACTCAAATTTGACATATGGATATGTCATGAGAAAATACAGGTCAAGTTTGAATTTGGTCATGGTTCGATGATTTTGGCAGAGTTATGCTCCTTTTACTTTGAAAATAATATGAAATTTTCAGTTTCTGTTTATTATCTCCCAAACAGTACAACACATTCAACTCAAATTTGACATATGGATATTTTTTTGGAATGCCAAGGTCAAGTTCGAATTTGGTGATGGTTCAATAATTTTTGGCAGAGTACCTGTACGAAAAAGTCTGGGCAGAATGCAGACAGAATCTGTACAGACTTTATTTAGAAAACTCTGTACAGAGTCTGTACAGAAAAAAATCTGGTCAAATGAAACAAAGTTGAACCAGAATTCTATTAATAGATTTTAGCAATAAGGATAAAGAACAAAATCTGTACAGATTTTTTCTGAAATATTTAAATTAAGCCGATTATTTTCTTGGCAGAAAAAAATCTGGGCAGAAAAAAAAAATCTGGGCAGAAAAAAAATCTGGGCAGAAAAAAATCTGGGCTTCTTCATATTCTGTACAGAATTAACCCTGTCCATAGGAAATATCTGAAAGGGAATTCTGCACAGAAAAAATTCTGTACAGAAAATATTCTGTACAGATTTTCGTTTTTTTTTTTTGGCTAAAAACAAAATCTATTTTCCTTTTGAACATTTCTTATTTATTAATTTCAATTAACAATTTTTATTCATTTCTTTCCTGGAGTAGTCTCTCCAATGAGTAATAGCCTTGTTGAGGGCGCTGTCATCAGGAATTGGCATGTCTCTGTCTTTGCACCACACACACATCCTGACATAATCTAGAGTAAAAAAAAAAGGAATTTGAATTATGTTCATTCTATTATTAAATGATATGCAAAATTTGTAAAATATTTCAATGTGTATATAAAACAGTTAAAATTGTATACCTATATACCTTAAGTTTTTTTGCACCAAGTAACATCAAAGCCACTGACTAATAAAACTGTTTACATATATCATCCCTGACCAAAGCTTGTGTTACAAATCTACACAGTTATGTAAATTGTAACATAACTTAAAATAGGAGAGATTTACAAGTGGCCAATATTCTAAAAATAGAATTGCTGATAAGCACTGACCATAGCAACAGTTGCTGGTCATACATTCTACACAATTTCCGGGAGTTTTGAATTGATTAATTTAAACTAAATGAATTGAATTATAGAATAGCAAAACCAAAAGCTAAACTAGTTATTGCATAATAGAGCAAGAAATTAAAAAAAAAAGATCTTGAGCTATCAACTGATCAAAAAGCAATTTATGAACTAATAATTTCACTGGCCCAGCTTTGACCTCAGTGCATTAATTTTATACTCATTAGACCATAGTGGTCTGTCTCAAATAAGAGTAAATTTAACTAATATAGATAATTCATAGACTCTATTAAAAGATTATAAATAATTTCTTTTATCTATAGTGGAAGGTATAATCAAATAATTCAAAGAAAAATTCAAAGAAAACATTGCAAAATCTTACCTCTGGTTTTGATTATAATTCCATCATAATTCCTCTTTGGCCCCTAAATCTGAGAATTTCAAGTCTCTACATGATTGCTCTTCACAACAACTAACTTGTTTACTTATCATTAGAAAAATAAACTAAACAAAACATATTCATCTTTGCTAATGTTTTAATCTTTGCCAATGTGAAGACACTTTGTGTAATAAAACCTCGTGTGGCAGTCTGAGAGATTTGAATTGACCAACAGGGGTTACATGGGGGTTACACCTGATATTACAGAATATCTATCTACTACTCTGAGATTAACTCAGAGTGAAATTCTGGCTAGAAATTCTGTCTCAAGATTTATCTAAGTGTTAAAATTCTGTGTGTCTATGTAAATTCTGCCTCAATTTTTTTTCTAAGTATTGAAATTCTGTCTTGTAAAAATAACTAAGAGCAAAATATCTGTGTGAAAATTTTTCTGTACAGAAAAATTTTTGATTCTGTTTTATTCTGCACAGAAAATCACCTATTTCTTAGGCAGATTCTGTGTCCAATTCTGTGTCGGTGTCAACTCTGTACAGAAAAATGAAAATCTGCCTCTATAACAACCAGAGTTGGTACAGAGTCTGTACAGAATTGGCTCAGAATTTTCGTACAGGTAATGCCCTTTTCACTTTGAAAAAAATATGAAATTTACAGTTTCTGTTCATTATCTACCCAACAGTGTTACATATTCAACTCAAATTTGAAATATGGATATGTCAAATGAATGGGCAGGTCAAGTTGGAATTTGGTCATGGTTCGATGATTTTTTGGCAGAGTTATGTCCCTTTCACTTTGAAAATAATATAGATACATCTTAGGAATAGGCAGTTTAAGTTTGAATTTGGTCGTGGTTCAATGACTTTGGATAAACTTATCTTTCTTGAATATTGGAAAAAATTTTGAACATTCAGATTCAGCACTCATACTTTTGTGGAAATGTATGTAGCCATTATTTTGGCTACAAATATGAAATATGCTATTTTCAAAAGGTTAAGACTGAATAATTTCAGTGCTTTGAACATTGTATGAAAATGGTTTGTGTTAACATTGAAAAGTTTTAAGGGCTTTGAACTTAAAATGAAAACAATAATTTGTGCAAACAAATTTGGAACTAAATATAATAACATCTGAAATTTTGGCTGCATGCGGGGGCATCCGTGGCATGATGACACATTTCTAGTTTCCTTCTATAACAGGGGCTATTATAATTAAAGGCCCCTTCACAATTCAAAATTGCACCTTCCGGTAAAATTAAATTGATTTATGCCAATTGCAATAACACAGAAATAGTTTTAATCAAGTTTAATGATTTTTGCGCATGTTCACCGGGTACCGACTTGAAGCAGATTTTACACAGGTCAGAAATTATAATCAACTGTTTCCAGTTTCAAAATGTTGCCAAATGCCAGGAAATATGTCATTTTTTTTCACAATTTAATGACATATCTCGCTTTTTTTCACAAAATGAACAGGCCCAGGCCCCTCCACAATTTTGACAAAAAATGCTCTGGTCTTAGCTTTAAATTCTCTTTCCAGTTACAGTTTATGTGAGATTTAGTGAGCATCTTAAATAGTTTGATGGAATAATTGTTACAGGGACTTGTGTTTCCTACAACTTTTACATTATTGTATTTTTTCCTCATAAACATATTAATTTTTAATAGCAATTATTGTAACATTTTCATAGTAAGACTATCAACAAGCACCAGAAACATTATATTTTGGGTAATGCTATCATAAAAAAACTTTTGGGCAAATTTGCTTTATTTTAAGTTCTTGTAAATACACAAAAATGTAATTGCAAATTCAATATATTTTTTGAAAAGAAAAAAGCCTGCATTACATGTACTTTTGAAAAATAAGAAAGTACTGTGCAGCAGGCACATAACTTTTTTATTAATTCATGGATTTGATTTATACTCGGGCAAAAGAACTCTCATAACAAAACCGACATGTTGACTATTTAAGATTTAACCTTGATCTTTATATGACCATAAATGTCAAGGTTAAAATATTGACCTTATCTTAGATTGTCATCACTCTTATTTATTCAAGGATTTGATTTATACCGGGAAAAAAAATCTTATGACAAAACACATATTTTCCATGATTTTTATTTGACCTTGACCATCATAATTTGTCCTTGACTGTCAAGGTTAAGTTATTGAAATTTGCTTTAATTTTCATATTTTTTTTTGTACAGATTTTGTTCATACATGTACTTGGACAAAACGAGCATTTTGAATTATTTAAAAATGACCTAGTCCTTTGAAATTTGCCTTAATTGTAATAACTCTCGATGAATCTCATGTTAAATATGATATTTGTCAGAATTATATTTTGTTTAACACAGTTACGTTTTCTAGGAGTATTATGTATGTACTAAATTTTTTTTTCCAGCGTGTTTATAATGCTGCAAAATTAAATATAAGAAGAGATGATAGACACACTGACCATAGTGTTTGCAGAAGCGGTTGGTCCATCTCAGCCGTGGTGGAGTATTCGTCGCAGAAGCTGTGGATAAAATATGGCCGTTTGCTGTTGTCAGTAAGTATAGGACTGAATTTTGTTCTATGTTTTAGTGTTCTACTGGAAACACTTAGTGCGACTGGAGCCCACATGTGTACTCTTTCAACTTATAACACACACACGGTGCAATACATTGCCGTTTATGCAAACACTTCTGTACAGTTTGATGTGGGGACGCCACTTTTGCCTAATTTTGGTTATAACATGTCAAAATTTAATGTGTGCAAAACGACCCCATAATACAACGGCATCACATCGTATGAATGATACTTTCACAAAATAACCATATATTTTGGAAATTTACGGAAACTATTTTTGCCTGTTTATAAAAGAAATGGCAAAAATGATCTCAACGCAGATGGCGGTGGATTCGAATAAAACGCAGTGTGGTGGGCCCGATACCATTTATTTATATTTTGAGGGTTTAACTTGACGTATCGCACTTTTCAATTGAGTACAACCCTTTTCTTACTTTGACATCTGAGAAACATGTTTATTTGATGTTATAAACAATATCAATTATTATGCTCCCCGAAAAATTTCGGGGGAGCATATAGTCGGCGCCCTGTCCGTCTGTCCGTCCGCACTCACAGGAGAGTAATTATGTGGCTAGAGAGACAATAGGTTCTTTCTCTTTGATGTCATTCATTCCGTAATGCTTTTATGTGGCTATTTTCTTTTGTGTGGCTAAAAAGAACAATAGAGAGAACAATAGAGTAGCCACATTATTACTCTCCTGTTAGAATGGACATCCGTTCGTCTGTCCGTCCATTGTCTTGTCCGGAGCATAACTTGAAAACCTTTGGAGATAATTTGTTGAAACTTCATACAGTGGTAGAGGGCATTGAGGGGGAGTGCAGTGTCAAAGAATCATAACTCTATATTGTCCGGTTTTTGAATTATCTCCCCTTATAGAAAAATCTTGTCCGGGGCATAACTCTAAAACTACAAGAGATATCAACATGAAACTTTGTAGGTGAATAGATCTCAATGGGTAGATGTGCATAGCATAAGAACAATAACTCTTTTTGTCCTAATTTTGGAGTTATTGCCCTTTGTTAATTTTAACTCTTTGAACTTTGTCCGGAACATAACTCTAAAACTATAAGAGATATCAAGATGAAACATTGTAGGTAGATAGATCTTATTGAGTAGAGGTGCAGTGCAAAAGAACCATAACTCTGATAAGCCTCATTTTTGAATTATCTCCCCTTTTAGAAAAATCTTGTCCAGGACATAGCTGTAAAACTATAAGAGATATCAACATGAAACTTTGTAGGTAGATATATCTCAATGGGTAGATGTGCAGTGCACAAGAATTATAACTCTGCCTTGTCTAATTCTAGAATTATTGCCCTTTGTTTATTTTCACTTTTTGAAGTTGTCCGGGACATAACTTGGAAATCATATGAGATATCATCAAGAAACTTTGTAGGTTGATAGATCACATTGATTAGAAGTGCAGTGCATAGAACAGTAACTCTGTTATGCCTAATTTTGGAATTATTGCACTTTCCTTGTCCAGAGCATAACTTGAAGACTAATGGTTGGAATTCAATACAACTTCATACAATGGTCAAGAACATTCAGAGGAAGTGCAGTGCACAAGAATCATAACTCCATCTTCACTATTTACAGAGTTATTGCCCTTTGTTACTTTTCCTTGTCGAGAGCATAACTTGAAAACTATTGGTTGGAATTCAAAACAACTTCATACAATGGTCAAGCACAATAAGGGGAAGTGCAGTGCACAAAACCATAACTTCATCTTTACTAATTTCAGAGTTATTGCCCTTTGTTACTTTTTCTTGTCCGGAGTATAACTTGAAAACTACTGGTTGGAATTCAAAACAACTTCATACAATGGTCAAGCACAATAAGGGGAAGTGCAGTGCACAAAAACCATAACTCCATCTTCACTAATAACAGAGTTATTGCCCTTTGTTACTTTTCCTTGTCCGGGGCATAACTTGAAAACTACAAGCTGGAATTCAAAACAACTTCATACAATGGTCAAGCACAATAAGGGGAAGTGCAGTGCACAAAAACCATAACTCTACCTAAAGTTATTACAGTTATTGCCCTTTGTTACTTTTCCATTGCTTTCTTTTGTCCGGACCGTAACTTGAAGACTTATGGTTGGAATTCAATATAACTTCATACAATTGTCAAGCACATTGAGAGGAAGTGTAGTGCATAAGAACCTTAACTCCATCTTCACTAATTACAGAATTATTGCCCTTTGTTACTTTTCCTTGTCCGATGGACCCACAGCTATGCGAAAGCTATGGCCAGTGTGATAGATAACCTAATTCATATCATTTGTGTGTTTTTTTTTCAGATCTACCTATCATTTTTACCAGTCGGGCATAAGCATGAAGATAAGATACCTCCTTAAACAAGAAACTTCACTCTACGGATTGTGAGACAAGGCCAGATCTTAAAGTTATTGAAGGATGCACAAATGATAGATGCAATGGCCAACTAAAAAGAATGGATGAACAAAATTTATCATTTGAGGCTTCTCTACCGGACATTTTGCTTGGGTTAGGGCTTTGGGCCTTATATTTAGCGTATGTAGCGAAGACCTACAAAAATAATAGTAATACAAAAACAAATCTGCAACAGAATCACACAAATGTTGTTAAAACTATTTAATAGAGAAAATAGTTCTTTTTAAGAAAATGTGTACATTTTATACAAAGAAAGAACTAATGGAAGGACTAAAAAATGAACATGCCACATGCATATCTCCCAGGTGTTTTGCTTGGGTTAGGGCTTAAATTAATCTTACATTGCTGTAAAAAAGACCTACCAAACTATTGCAATAACAAATCTGGACTCAGACAAATAGTGTTTAAATGATTGGCTGGAGAAAATGGTGCTTTTTACAAAAAATTATACATTATAAACATGTACAGAGCTCAACAAGTAAACCTGACTTAGCACTACAAATTTGTAAAAAGTTATTTGAATATTGTTTTCACAAAGGCAGACTTGGGAAAAAGTAAGCGACACCTGCCCTGATTTAAAGCGGATTCTCTTTTTGGCAGATTTTAGATTGTTGATATTTCAAGAATAGAAAAACGGAAACAAACAGTGAGTTATTTATTATCTGGAAATGAAGATGCAGTGGTATTTTGGAGAAAAAAAATATCAAATGAATTATATGTTGTTAATTAAAGAGAAAAAATTGCTTGATAAGATCTTGCAAGGTTGTTCAGAATTTGTTATACTTCATGTGCAATAAGTTAATTTTCTGCCAGCAGAACAGAATCATTTATGATTATACATGTATATTTTAACAAGTAAATCAAGAGAAGGAGAGAACACATGTCAAACAACTGGATGGTTTGTAACTGGTACTTTTATTCAAGGATTTACCAGTTTCGATCTTTCAAGACCTTCATGGGGATTTAATTTCAATAATAAATGATTATACTGATGTACTAAAAAAGAGGAAACAGAATGTGACATATGTTACTATAACTAGACATATAAAAGAGTTTTCTTGGCAAAATGCCAAGTTATTGTCCATATAAAATGTTTCAAATGTTGGTTAACCACAGATCATATCTATCATCAATGACCAATTTTACGGCATGGTTAAAGTGTTCATATTCACCTAGAATGATTGTGTTGCAAAAATGTAGTTGAAACTTAAAGCTTCGCAGTCTTAAAAAGGGACTCCTGACTGAGGTTTAAAAGCCTAAAAACATAACATTTGAATTTCTTACATAATTGAGCTAGGACACTTTAAACAGAAATATATGCAAAGATAGTTAAGAAATATACTTTGAAATAAATTGAAAATCGTATTATTATGCTTTCCTTAGGCCGAATTGAGTGAAAAGGGTTTAAACGCTTTTCATTTTGGGTCATTTTTTACAATTTGAATACATTTGTTTTGTAATTATTCTGGAAAAACTAAGTGCGCGAATGATCTGAAATTTTGCACAAAGATTAGTTGTCTAAACCTACATCAATTGGTACATTTATCTGGAAAAATTATTTCCAGTCCAATCATGTCAAAAAACCTCAGTGGAGTCCCTTTAAGTTGATTGTAGTTACTTAGGAGAAAATTAGTTGGATTCTGTATTAATTTTACAAACTAAATTTCCTTTTTTTTTGTGAGTAAATATATAGATGTTAGTTGAGACTTCCTTCTGAAGTTGTTTCCTTTATGTAATATTTTAACAAATTTTATCTTAAAATTTAGTATGGTATTTTAGCTGCTGGTTCTTGCAGAACAGAATCACTTATGGTTATATCCTATGTTTAAATTGATGTTATCATACTTATGTTCCGCCGGCAGAACAATTTCAAATTAATTTTATTAAATGATATTCTTTCTGATTTATATTTTTGATTAAACCTAAAAAGGTTGTTAAGATTTTTCTTGTAATAAATAAATGTTCCGCCGGCAGAACAGAATCACTTATGGTTATATCCTATGTTTAAATTGATGTTATCATACTTATGTTCCGCCGGCAGAACAATTCCAAATTAATTTTATTAAATGATATTCTTTCTGATTTATATTTTTGAATAAACCTAAAAAGGTTGTTAAGATTTTTCTTGTAATAAAATTATAAATAAATGTTCCGCCGGCAGAACAGAATCACTTATGGTTATATCCTATGTTTAAATATTATTGATGTTATCATACTTATGTTCCGCCGGCAGAACAATTTCAAATCACTTTTATTAAATGATATTCGTTCTGAATTATATTTTTGATTAAACCAAAAAAGTTTAAGAATATTTTTTGTAGTAAATAAATGTTCCGCCAGCAGAACAGAATCACTTATGGTTATATTCTATGTTTAAATTGATGTTATCATATTTATGTTCCGCCGGCAGAACAATTTCAAATCAATTTTATTAAATGATATTCTTTCTGAATAAACCTAAAAAGGTTGTTAAGATTTTTCTTGTAATAAATAAATGTTCCGCCGGCAGAACAGAATCACTTATGGTTATATCCTATGTTTAAATTGATGTTATCATACTTATGTTCCGCCGGCAGAACAATTTCAAATCAATTTTATTAAATGATATTCTTTCTGAATAAACCTAAAAAGGTTGTTAAGATTTTTCTTGTAATAAATAAATGTTCCGCCGGCAGAACAGAATCACTTATGGTTATATCCTATGTTTAAATTGATGTTATCATACTTATGTTCCGCCGGCAGAACAATTTCAAATCAATTTTATTAAATGATATTCTTTCTGAATTATATTTTTGATTAAACCTATAAAGGTTGTTAAGAATTTTCTTGTAATAAATAAATGTTCCGCCGGCAGAACAGAATCACTTATGGTTATATCCTATGTTTAAATTGATGTTATCAAACTTATGTTCCGCCGGCAGAACAATTTCAAATCAATTTTATTAAATGATATTCTTTCTGAATTATATTTTTGATTAAACCTAAAAAGGTTGTTAAGATTTTTCTTGTAATAAATAAATGTTCCGCCGGCAGAACAGAATCACTTATGATTATATCCTATGTTTAAATTGATGTTATCAAACTTATGTTCCGCCAGCAGAACAATTTCAAATCAATTTTTATTAAATGATATTCTTTCTGAATTATATTTTTGATTAAACCTTAAAAGGTTGTTAAGATTTTTGATATTTTGTAATATGTAAATGTTCTGCCGGCGGAACAGGATTATTTATGAATTTATTTTTTCTTTGCGTTAGAGTGAATCATATTTCTGTTCTGCTGGCGGAACAATTTCAAATGAGTTACATTATTTGATTTTACTTTAAGAAATATATTTTTGACAAAATTTTGCAAAGGTGTTAAAAATTGTATCTTGTAGTAAATAAATGTTCCGTCGGCAGAACAGAATCACTTATGGTTATATCCTATGTTTAAATTGATGTTATCATACTTTTGTTCCGCCGGCAGAACAATTTGAAATCAATTTTGTTAAATGATTTTCTTTTAGAATTATATTTTGATTAGAAATTTTTATGATTCTATCTTATTTTTGCATTCATATGAACTGGAACCATATTTCTGTTCTGCTGGCGGAACAATTCCAATGAGTTCTTTTATTTGATTTTTACTTTAAGAAATGCATTTGTTACAAAATCTTGCAAAGGTTGTTCAGAATTGTGATATGTTGTAATTAATAAATGTTCCGCCGGCAGAACAGAATCACTTATGGTTATAACCTAGTATGTTTTGATACATGTTTTCATACTTATGTTCTGCTGGCGGAACAATTTAAGACTGAACTATTTTGTAAAATAACTTAATATATGTTTTATTTAATGTTCCGCCGGCAGAACATTTTAGCATTTTTGGATTCTTGCTATCTCGCAGAAAGAACTGCTAAATGTTCTGCTGGCGGAACAAATCATGATTTATTTGTAATAATATGCTGTATTTTTATAACAAAATGAAATAAATTTTGTGTTAAATATATTTTCAGTTGTACTTTTTGTTGTTTTTCCCTTAAAATACATCTTAAAATATCCACTAAAATAGCTGAAAATGGCATTTTTAATTGGGAATCTGTGGATAATCCCTTTTTAAAATGGATGGAGTTTAAGCTAGTAATGAGAGTTAAATGTCTATTTAATTCATGGTATTAATTCACATGATGAAGATAATTACCAGTCATCCTAAACATTTTATCTGATCTGTCCGGTAATATGCTACGTTTCATCACGACATTTGGCCATTATTTGCAATCTTATGCTCTTATTGGACACATGAAAAAACTCAGTGAAATACAGACGTATTGTCGTATCGTTCAATCTCAACAAAAAAATGAAAAAAATAATGAAATGTTTATAAAAGAGAAAAAAAGCATAATTTACGTAAGCCTAATAGTATAAAAAAATAAAAACCAAAATGCAATGGCGCGAATAAAGGCTTTACAATGCGAATCAAAAGGCGTAATTACGCAAAACAAAAGACGTAAGGACACAAATAAAGGAGTAGCAACGCGAATACAGGCAAAGTTACGCGAATAAAAGCGTTATAACGCAAATCAAAAGGCGAAATAACGCGAATAAAGGCGTTTTAATACCTATATTACTATATAGTAACACACTCTAGGGTATTTCAGGGCAATTATGGCAAGATCTAGGTCATTATGCAATTTGGCCGCCTTGCTGCTCGGTATTATTTTTCCATAATGGCCGAGTGAATGAGCGCACGTGCAGAGTGACGTCATCAACTCGCAGCAACTTTTAAGATGCCTGTTGACGTTGAATGAACTGTAGTCACTTGCACACACCTTTTGTAAAGTTTAAATGACATAATTTATCACAATCAACAAAGCTTAACATTGAATATTTATAAACTCAAGACAATTCAAGATCCTCAGAAATTCCAAAAATGATTTCAGATTGACGGTAAGAAAATGTCGGATCGTCACATTTAGACCTAGACAACAGTCTCAGAAACCGTTCTTGAAGGCATAAAATTTCATAAAACACGCAATTATTAAAGATCTCAATGTAATTTTCACAAAAAATGTAAAAAGTAGGTTTCTGTATTTATCGATAAAACCAACAATAAAATATATAAATATTTATTTTGCATGTTCACCTGTATGACAGATATTTGTTTACATTGACAACTGTCCGTTTCTTAGAAAGGGCGACAACCAAGATTAGCGGCGATGTCTAAACGCCGTATTTCGGGCATAGGTATTAAAAACGTAAATACATTGTTGCTAATAATGGCCAAAAGATGTGCATACTGGCCTGAGAGCCTCTAAATAACGCGAATCAAAAGGCGTAAATCGCGAATAAAGGCGTTAAAACGCAAATAAAAAGGCGTAATTACGCAAAAAAGGCGTTATAGAAAAATATAACATATTTTATACTTTACAAGGATATCATTATTTTAACCAGAAGTGCATAGAACAAAATGTACCCACATTGCAAACCCACGTCCGTGTTCGGTTTGATTAACCTCGTCCAATAATGATTATTCTGAGATAAGGAGACACTGAAATAAGCTTTTCTACTTAATATATGCTTTTATTTGACACAATAAATTACATTAATGTGCTTTGCCCCTATAAAATGTTAGATAAAGATTATTAATCATCGCTTTTCCCTTTTAGTCAATGGAAAATGTATTTATGCATCAAACATATATTATATAGATTGTAGAGGTCAAGAAATGATCAGCAAATAATAAATCTTCACGAAAATGCTTCTTTTCCATCTTACTATAATATTTTTAATTTCAGATTTCTCGAGGAGAATGAAAACATTACAAGTGAATACGACACATAGACGTTTACTATTATAACAACTATATGCAGTTTGTTGAATAATAACAAAAAGATCCCTCGTGACGTTTGTCAGCAATATGAATGATATTATGTCAGTTGCATCACTATTTTGAATTTTAAAACATCATTCATAAAGACCAAAATTACAAATGCGTAGTTAACAGGAACAGCAATTTTGCTAAAAGAAGCGGCACGTACATTTTTACGTGCAATACAGGTGACTTTATTCCTTTTAAAAGAAAGACGCATTGGAAAACTTTAACATCAATACGAGCAAGATAGTCGCCATAGACTTATGCCGCGAGACGACTTGTGAATCGTGTTCTGTTGTGGGGATATTCAATTTGCTTGTATTCCTTTTATAGAAACTTTCTTTTGCAATTTGTCAGGATTACAACTGTTTTAATGTGACATATTTACCGATTTAATTGCTAGATAGTAGAAGTTAAGGTGCAAGTAAATCCAGATATAATTTCAGAGCTCAGTCTGAGACAGTTGGACGCGGTATTATTATTCATTGTATATCATAGACATTGAGAACTGGATTTTATATTTAGTGAAAGTTTAGCCTTTGTGTACAAACGTGTGAGAACAACACTTACTTTAGACGGAAAGACAAAAAAGACGAAGATCGAAACATGAAGATGATAGTTACAATGGAATTACTTCTTGTTATTTTAATGGGCGAAATAACAATGGGAATAGAAATATACGACTTGCGGAGGCAGCATGTGAGTACATAAACTATACGTCTGTTTATCATTTGTTACCTTATTGTATAGTTTCGTTAGGTAGAATTAGAGACCACCAGTATTCAAATGGAATTGCATTGCAATTCATAATAAAGCAAGAGTAATAATAATCAGGAACTATCAACACAAACTAAATCGACATGGCTGTTTTCGTTTTTAAATTTTACTTAAAGTAGTAGTTTTAATAAAGACTAAATGCAATATAAGATACAAGAAATATAATATTTTATACAAATATTGTTCTGATATTACAAAGTAAATTATGTACGGAAAGAGTTTCTAAAAAGCTTTTCAAGCTTCCTACTCAATCCGTACTATATTTATTATTTGTCAATTATCATGTAAATGTAATGTTTATAAATAAAATATTGTTTAAACTAAATTCATGTAATAGAAGTCCAACAACTAGAATTCTTAAACATGTTTCTAATTTAGATTATCAGACATTTAAATATTAAACTTACGATAACATTGTAAAACAATATGAAATTCATGAAACGTTACTGCAGATAAATGAGTGCCGTGTTTCGTTATTGTAATGATACATTGTAATAAATGGTCAAAGTTAATGAAAATAATTTATTATGAAAGACGAAGGCAGTTGTTCCAATACCAAAAAATTAATATGTTTCATGAAATGATATTTGTCTTTCAATTTCGGCATTTTGTGGAAATAATAGATATATTTATAAAACACTTATTAAGATACTGCTATTAGTTCACCTCTTCTGAAATACATTGATTGTTTACGGACGGAAATGACAAAATGTCCCCTAGGATAATACAAAACTGTTTCAGATAATTTACATTCAACTAACATAAGTTTGAGCAGATAAGATTGTATTGCAGTAGAATTGTCATCATTGTCTAAGCAAAACTTCTTACGGACACCGATCAAGCAACATTTTGTGTAACTTTATAAACCAAAACTGTGTGTAAAAGTATTTTTTAAGAAAATGGAAAACTGAGTCTATTTCATTCACATCACTTTATTTAATTTGCATCCCTTATTGTATTTTAACGCTGCCTTTTACCCGCCACAAAAAAGGAAATACAAAACTTTAACTATTTCAGTTAGAACTCTAAACGTCATGTGTGGTTACATCTAAATGCACTGCTCAAGAATAATTAAAAGCATTTTCAAAATTTGGGGTAATGGCTCTTTAATATTTACCATACTTAATTTTTCTCAGGGACATAATTCAAAATCTTGTGAATAAATCACATCCTCGATTTGATGACGGCGTTTATTACGTAATGAGGACATCGTCTCCCAAAAAAACTTTTTCATAACCAGAATTTTATAACATGTAGGTGGTATGTGCTACTTGTACATTTTATACTTGTTCGTTATAGTAAGATATATTATAATGACCCTGTTTAAATGCAGTGCCGAAGATCACCAAACCAACAAAAAAATATACATGTTCAATTATAATGATTACATAAATAAACAAATAAATTAAATCTCCGATTGTGCATTTCTTAATTTTGGTTTTAAGTATTTTTTCATACATAAAGTGATTTGGTCTTCCATCAACACATTGTTCATGAGAGATATGTATCATAATAAATATAAAATATTGTTTGAAAAACTATAGGATCATGAATCGTACACTTGCTAACAAAACCTATTAAAATTTGTCATGATTTATTATGATAATGTTTGATATTAAATACTATCAACATAATCATGATAGAACAGATCTTTCACTATAGACCAATTCATTTTTGTTTTAATAAAGGGCAGAGTGATATCACCAAGGAAACAAAAACAACAACTCTATAATAGCCACAAATCTCTTACATATGTGTAAAGAATTATTGCCTCTTGTAAACTTCTCATTTTTTTTTGGTTCCAAACCGTTGTAGTATGAAATAACATCAACTTGGAATTTCATAGAATGATAATATCTGTCATATGTTTAAGTTCAGATCGGAATATCCGTCCCGAGGGTACCTATTCATTTGATGATACGGAGGCTTGCAAATTATCCGAACAAAATATTCATACCCAAGTTACGGATATTCTTATCCGAATCGCAAATAGATGATAGATACATTTTGTTACATGTTCTTTTATATAATACCATATTTACATGGGCTCTTTAAATGTTCTTAGTGTGTTTTTGATGTTGCTGTTTCTTTGTTTATTTGTTGATGTTTTGGTGACATTATGCCTACCGAAGAGTATAAAGTTATATAGATATTCAATCAGTAAACAGTTAGAGTCAACGAAAGTTTACTGTGGAATAAAATGATGTGTTATTTATATTCAGCGCGGGATACAACACATGACCAGCATGATGACAACTACTTTCTGGTGTACAAAGACAGTTTTGGTTCCTTAAGACATTGATCATCGGTTAAGATTAAGAGCATGATATCACATTAAGACCCTTATTTCCCGACCAGAA